TTTGGAAGGCTGTGGATGACTTGCGGCAGGTGAAGCGTCCTTAGCTAGTATCTACTTCCCCAACGCATGTCTACCTTCTCACGCTGGCCGAGATTGGTTGGGAACCGACGTCGGAAAAAACACATCGTCACCAGCGAAACTTAACATATTGCTCATCTGGAGCTGCCTCAAATTATGACCAGGGACTAGCACGGCGTGGTGCAGTACACTGGTCTGAAAAGAAAGCGCTCCAGCTACGACCCAAATTCAACTAGGTTCGGTGCAGGCTTGTTATGTGGGAGGGGGCGAGTGCCCTTATGAACTATAATAAGCTGTCCCAGGCCTAGACGAAACATCATCGGGCTTGTATTAGGACTGTGGCTGCAATGTGTACCAGGCCCAGGCTCGCCCCCAGGACCACGGACTCGCTGAGGATGACCTCTGCCAGCTGAACCATGCCGAGCGAGGCGCACTCTTCCACGGGAGATTCGTCCGCGAGGCGTTCGAGCCGGATCGGAGGCAGCGCCAGCCGAGGAGGTGCAGGCCTGCTGCCAGGGGAGCCCATGCATTTCACCAGGGCCTCGAGAAATCGTCGGTTGGAGCGCCTCCTCCTCTTCGGGAACTGGTACCACCCCTCCTCCTCGAGAACTTGTCGGCTGGAGCGCCTCCTCCTCCTCGGGAACTGCTTCCACCCCAGAGCGCCTCGAAACGTTCGTGCTCCTGTTCTGGGTCGACTGGCTGGCGCCGCCGGCGGGCTCGAGGGCCAGCTCTGCTCGGGCGGGCCGGCTCGCAGCCCCTGGTCCTTGCCATCGCTCGGACGTCCATTTCCCGTGCATTTTTCGGTTTCGCGCGTGTTTTTGCTGCTCGATGGTCCAGGATGGTCCTCGCTGGTTCTCGCCGAGAAAAAACTGGGCACGTCCGAGCCATGCCAAGTAGTGTGAGACGACAAGGCGGGCTGGGTGGAGCCTGGCGCAAGTCAACGGGTCAGGTAACCTCATCGGTGCTGATTTCGGTGCTGTGCCAATTTTGCCGCCAGCCAGCGAGCCAGGGACGGCGAAGCACATAAGATGCTGGCTGAGCGTGCTGAACCGCTTCCCGAACTTGATGTCCTCACGGGTTGTCAAGGGACCTTGGTGTGCATCTGGGAGCGGGCTAAAAGCCTGACGCTTCAAAACCTGAGGGCCCACATCTGGGCCAAGGTTTGGCATGTGTTTGAGGTGGGCCTTCGGGCCCACAAAGTCAAGGGCCATGCCACCAGGTCTGATGTTCTGAACGGCCGCACGACAGAGGTCCACAGGTCAGGGCATAGACACGCTGACAGAGTTGCAAGGAAGGGTGTTGAGTTGTACCCGATGTCAGAGGAAGCTGTCAGTTTAAGAGCTGATCTGATATCCCACCAAAAGGAGATGTTGTGGCGAGTAGGGATTCAACATGTTTTGATGTCTGGGAGAGGCTGAGCTAATTGAGGCGAGAAGGAACAAGGAGCGCGCAGCCCAGGGAACCTGGATCAGTGACTTCATGCGACTTTCAGAGTCCCTCTTTTTCTGGAGCCTCAGCCCGCTGTGCCAGGGACGCCTGACGGGTCGTACGAGGCGACTCTGCTGACCAAGCTTCACGGCCACAACCTTTGCAAAGCGAAAGTCGTCGCGAATGATGGAGAACGGCCTGGTGGGAGTGGATGCATGATTGTGGGGGTGACACGATCTAGGCCCACCGACGACAAGCCCTGAATCGGCATGGAGTCCTAAGGGCCGCGAAGGTCGTGCACTCATACGCAAAGCACGAGCGCGCAAAATGCTTACGACAGTGCAATTTCATTCGAACGAAACTGGCTCTGCCGTTGGAGGAGCCGACGTCGAGCCTCCTGAAAACGAACGGATATGTACACTCTGGGGCACACTGAGAGGAGGCGGAGATGAAGGAGGCGGGGGAGGCGGAGGAGGAGGAGGAGGAGGAGGAGGAGGAGGAGGAGGAAGAGGAGGAGGAGGAGGAGAAGGGGGAGGAGGAGGAGGAGGAGGAGGAGGAGGAGGAGGAGGAGGAGGAGGAGGAGGAGGAGGAGGAGGAGGAGGAGGGGTCGGAGGGAGACTCTCTTCTGGCTGGCGGCGGCACGGGCATGGAACACTAGTTATCCGCAGGTGGCTCATTCATCTCCGCAGCAGGAGGCGAAGGAGGAGGAGGAGGAGGAGGAGGAGGAGGAGGAGGAGGAGGAGGAGGAAGATGAGGAGTAGGAGGAAGAGGAGGAAGAAGATGAGAAGGAGGAGGAGGAGGAGGAAAGGGGGGGAGAGAGGGGACGAGAAATCGGAGAAGTCTCGGGGGGGCGGGACGGCGGGGGCGGTGCGACGCAGAAATAAAATGGTCGGAGCGGAGGGGGTGCGGGGTGCACTGAGCGGGTGGGGAGGGGAGAACGATCGTGAGGGCGGGACGGTGGGGGCCGTGCGACGCCGAAGAAAACGTTCGTGGCAGAGGGGGCTGTGGGCGGGGCTCCTACTGGAGCGCTGGGGACGCGGGGGGGCTCGGGGTG